TTTTACGTTGAACGATCCCTATCTGACCCCTGTTACCTGATCAACATGATAGTGTGTCCAGTGACCGAAGACATGTTGGTGTAACTTGCTTTCCAACACTGACAGTTTTGGGTGGAGCATGTGGGCGGCGCAGTGTGGTGAGGTAAGACGTAACACAGTCGCCATACGTTTGGCTCTAAATTCCACAGTTTTGAACCGAGGTGCACCAAAATCAGTATGATCGATCATTGTCCACATCTTGAACAAGAAGCCAGCCCCAAGCCATTTTTTGACCGATAATTCTGAAACTCGGTGAACATCTATATCTTCTCAGGACCTATGAAAAAGTCTCCTGGAGCCCTGGTCCAAAACCAACAGGAACATAGCCATTTTGGGTCAAAGGGTCATTTTGGAGGGTTTCTAATTGCAAGTTTTAACAAACTCCTCCTAGGAAATTGGAAGGATTGCCTTCATACTTGATTGATATGCCCTTAAGACATTGGAGAGTAAAAGTTATCTAAAGCTTGCGTTTTCATATATGTTAAAGGGGCGTGGCCATGCCTTAAAATTTAGCTTAATGCCATAAATTTCGTAACACTATAACTTTCACATTGAAAGATTGAAATGCACGAAACTTGGCATGACTCATCCCTGTTGGATGCCCGACGATCCACTGTGGTCATGTTTTGACGTCATCAAAGCCCCGCCCCCTCAGAACAGGGAGTCTCTTTTTTAAATTTGGAATGCTCCCTATTTTGACACTATTGACCTAATCAGGCTGATCCTGTGTTAGAAGACAGATAATATGGTCTGACTTGATTTAAAGCACAAACCGTTTTTGCTTGAGGATGTGGGCGTGGCGGCGAATTAAGAAGTGACGCCGTTGCAATATGTTTGGCTCTAAATTGCGTGCATTTCAGCCGAGGTGCACAACAATCACTATGATCGATCATTTTATCCGCCCCTTGAACAGGTGTCCATGATAAGTGGCCAATAGCCTCCACAGCGCCACCTACATTATTCCTACAGTTATAGCTCCGTGATGTAACCTCCGATCTGAAACAGATTTATTGTGCGTTATCATGGAGGACTTTTACATTGATATTGTGGTTTAACATACGACTCAAGTGTGCCTAAATTATTCCAACAGTTAGATCTCAATGATACATCATCCTATCGGCAACAGATTTTTGGTGCGTCATCTGTGAGCATTTCGAGACACATTGGTGTTGTTGTTTATCATTTGACTCAAGTGCGCCCCCTAGATTATTCAAACTGTTATATCTCAATTATATTTTATCCGATCTGCTCCAGATTTTTGATGCGTGATCAGTGTGTGTGTCTCATCCACTTTTCAACCGCCAGGATAATATAATCTTTGGGCTGGACTTGAGGCTCCCACTCAAACGTAAGGATAGCTGTGGGAGTGGATAATGGGTACTGGTCTCTGATTGCACATCCTAACTCTGTTATTACTCGACTCAGTGGGACCTCGTTGCCCAGTTTACTAGTGCATGCTACTTTTTCTAATTCTTTGGCCACCAGGGACATTCCACTGGTGAGACCACTTAGTTCGGAAAGCCACAATCTGCCTCCAGCAGAGATGCTTGGGAGTTTGTCAACCAGAGCATCTCTGTCTTCCACTGGGAAAGGCACATATTTCTGGCGACCCCTGGATGATTGTAGTAACGGAAACATGTACTCAGCCTCATTGAGTTTTTTTTATCTAATCCTCTTGTTGTCGTTGTGTGGGTTCTACCAGAGGGATGTCCTGTTTGTGAGGACTCAACTTCTCGTAAATGGCCTAATGTGGTTCTTAGTTTGTCAATTTCGTGATCTATTTCCTCCTCTTTTATCAATCGGAAATTCTCCTTCTCTTCCTGTTCGGGTATCAAATGTCCTCTAGTGGTCATCGATACTCTGACAGGTTGTTTTCCTTGTGTATTCTGCAGCTCATGCTCTTAATCTCTCCATTCTGCGCTCGCATTGTTCAATCATTTCTTTGCTGTGAGCCACCGTTTTTTTCTAAAGTTTTTTTTTTTATATGTTCTATTTTATTCGCCTCTTCTTTCCTGAGCCCATGCTGTAATTTAGGCTGGACTGACTGCCACCCCCCGTTCCTCTGTGTTTATGAGTGGAAGAGGTGCAAAAACCTTTGTTATGGGCCATGGAGGGCTGAACAGGTCAGGCTTTTCAAGCTGTTCCTCCAACAGTCCACATGATGGTGCTGCTGCTTGTCTAAATGGGTTGGGGTTGATATTTTCTAAAACCAGCATCTCCTGTGTTAGTTCGATAGATGGGTACAGCCCCCTAGGGGTGTTTGCCTCCCTGTTAACGGAGGTCCCTCCCTTTGAGGCAGTCTGTTCCGACCCCAGATACGGGGGCAGAGACTACTCAGACGGCTGTGGCTGAGTGGTTTGAGCAGTCGTCCTCCAATGCAAGAGTTGGGGGTTTGAATCCACCAGCAATCACATGTTGAAGTGTTCCTGGACAAGACACTGAACCCCTCATAGCCTCCGATGTGTGTCCCATTGGTGCATGAATGTGATAAAGCACTGATTAATCTCTTTAGAATGATTTGTTCAATTAGCTTTGTAGAGATCTTGTAGAGTGCTGTAAGAAAGGGTAAATGAGGACACAGATTGTAGTGTAAAGCGCTTTGAGTATCTTGAAATAAGTTAGAAAGGCGCTATATAAGTACAGTCCATTTACCATTTATTTGCTGTGTGATTACTCTACCCTTCACTTCCGGTGTTGCCTGCTCCTGAGTGTTTTAATCCCTTGCCATGACACGATTAATTTTTCACACGTTGTCAACTGTTTCTCCGCATCTTATTCTTTCTGCATATTTTTTGTTACTTCCTGTCTCAGTGTTCGCAGTTGTTTTAGTAAAAATCCTCCTAAAGGTTTGCATGGACTCAGTGGGGCTTCCTGTTTCACTACTGCTTGAGTGATCTTCTCTTTTTTTTTCTGATTTTTTTTCTTTGTGAAGTCGTCATGGTCCGTCAGGTATGTTACTTGTTTGTTAATCTGAGTTTCAAGAGGGAGCTAGGGTCCCTGAAGCGTCAATGTCTGCTTCAAATTCACCGTTCATTTTGTCACGTTTTGTCTGTATAACGTTATGTTTTACACAAAATGACTCGTTTTCTCTCTCGGCGGTGAGAAAATTCAAGCTTGCTCGGCGGTGAAGCAATTATACCACCAAAATCACACTGCAAAGAGCTTCTCTTCAAACACACACACCCACACTCTCGCTGCGCAGCTCTTTCACTCACTTCAGTCACACTCTCTCGTCCGACATTATTATGGCCCAGCCCAGTCCGAATCTGGGTTGGTCGGGGCCGGGCTCCGGGTTCGGGTTAGAAATGACAGCTCTAGATCAAACCTCTGACCCTCCGATTGGAGGATGACCGCTCTATACTGGACCAGGATGGCCCAAAATTTAGAGTTAATGAGATGTGTTAATGTGAGTAAATCTAACCTCAAGTGTACAAAAACGCACAACAGATTCTGCCTTGTCATTAATTTTTAGAAAAAAAACAAGCCAACATGCATAAGCTGTGTGTATGGGCACTTTACAGGAACATCAACATACATAAAAGCCAATTAGTAAAGTTCTCTATCTAAGGAATCCAGCAGACAAGTTGAATCTTGGCTTCATTGCAGTCTCCCATCCTGAGCAAGCACAGTGGAGACAGTGGAAAGGAAAAACTCCCTTTAACAGGAAGAAACCTCCAGTAGAACCAGGCTCAGGACAAGCAACCATCTGCTTTGACCGGCTGGTTGAGAGGACAGGAAGGAGAGACAGACGAACACAGAATGGTAGGTCCAGGTATAGGTCCAGGTCCAGGTGTACCAGAAAGACAAAAAAACATGTTAAGGATAGAAGGATTTGACAGGGAGCCAATGGACACTACTGAGAGTTTTTTATTCTGAAGGAGGTTCTTCATATTTCTGGATAATAGGCTGAACTTTTTTTACTTCATTTTTTCAGTTTGGCTTCACTTTTGTTAAATAAATAATGATGTGATGGAATCTGCTGAGTGTTTTTACAGCTGATGTTGGTTTAAATCCTATTTAAAATCTGGTTAAGACCGGATCACTCTTAAGATGTCATAATTTGTATAACTCTAAAATTGACAGAAGATGGACTGTTTTTATATGCCAGTCAGCAGACGGTCACGGTCTTTGCGTAGGTACGTCTTTATGTGCATCCGTAACCTTTACCTGATCTTCTCAAGAAAATTTAATTAAACTTGATATGTGTTCATCTTACGTCAGATTCAGTTTATTATTGCCATTGTCAGTGAACAGGATTCACAGAGTAGGAACTTGCATAAAGGTGCAAATAGAATATAAAAGATAAAAAGAAAACATATGCACACCAATACAATACAATACTCAGAAAAAATGTGCAATTGGAGTAGTGCAGTAAAAATACAGTTATAAAGTGACCAAAGCAGAGTTGTAAAGTAACGTGATTATGAGTGTTCAAGAGTCCAACGGCAGAGGGGAAGAAACTGTTCTTATGGCGGGAGGTTCTGATCCAGATGGACCTTAAATAAACAACCCATTTAATTCCTCTTTTAAAAGTATTTTATTGCTTAAGTTGAATTATTGTCCCCTCCTGCCCGAGGGGAGTGGTTCAAAGAGTTCATATGCAGGGTGAGAAGGGTCAGTTGTAATCCGACCTGGATCCACTCAAGATAATTTAATGAAACTTGATGTGCATATGCATCATCACTAAATGGAGTGTCATATACACTTTTCGTCACCCCAGCTGCAAGGTCACAAATCAAGGACAAAGGTAAAGCACAGTGTAAATAAAAGTAATTTGCTTGTAAGGGTCATTGCTATAGGTTGCTGTATATCAGTATAATTGGTTGTTGTCAGGCATATATTGTACAGTACTCATTAGTTTTTTTTCTCTCGTTGATTGTTTTTGTTTTGTTGTAATATCTTACAGTATGGTTGTGTGTGTGTGCGTGTGTGCACATACATATATACATTGTGTTTTTCAGCGAGTGTGTGGAGTTTGTAAAGAGTTTTAAGATACCGCTGTTGGTCCTTGGAGGAGGAGGATACACTGTGAGGAATGTAGCTCGCTGTTGGTAAGACTCACAATCAAAGAACAAACGTGTGAAGATGGAAGTCCAGTATCTTGATCAAGTTCTGATCTCATCCATAGGACCTTTGAGACGTCTCTGCTACTGGATGAATCAATTAGTGATGAACTGCCATATAGTGGTGAGCTGAGCATCCTTCTGTTAGCAAGCATGTACCTGCAGCTTTAAAAGCTTTCATCATTCAGAGGAAACTGTGTCTTTGTTGAATTTTGTCTGTAACACCATCTGGAAAGCTAAGAAGAACCACAAGCTAAAGCAAAGTTACAGTTAACCCCAAAAAATATTATTACATCTCACTGTGTTCTTCTTTTCTGTATGTTTTTGCAGTTGTGCTAAACTAACCTTTGTGCTATTTAGCTACAGTGGGGAGAACAAGTATTTGATAGACTGTTGATTTTTCAGGTTTTCCCACTTGCAAAGTTTGTAGATGACTGTAATTTTTATCATAGGTACTCTTCAACTGTGAGTGATGGAATCTAAAACAAAAATCCAGAAAAATACAATGTATGATTTTTAAATAATTAATTTCCATTTTATTGTGTGAAATAAGTATTTGATCATCTATCAACCAGTAAGAATTTTGGCTCTCACAGACATGTTAGTTCTTCTTTAAGAAGCCCTCCTGTTCTCCACTCATTACCTGTATTAACTGCACCTGTTTGGACTTGTGACCTGTATAAAAGACACCTGTCCACACACTCAATCAGACTCCAGCATCTCCACAATGCCCAAGACCAGAGAGCTGTGTAAGGACATCAGGGATAAAATTGTAGACCTGCACAAGGCTGGGATGGGCTACAGGACAATAGGCAAGCAGCTTGGTGAGAAGGCAACAACAGTTGGTGCAATTATTAGAAAATGGAAGAAATACAAAATAACGGAAAATCTCCCTCGGTCTGGGGCGCCATGCAAGATCTCACCTCGTGGAGCATCATTGATCTTGAGGAAGGTGAGGAATGAGCCCAGAACTACACGGCAGGACCTGGTCAATGACCTGAATAGAGCTGGGACCACAGCAAAGCCGTGTCAACCAAGAGAGCCCCACAACATCCAATTCGGCTCACTTTTTTTTTTTTTTACTTTTATACATTTTAAAATAAATAACTTTATTTAGATACTGTCTCCATTGAAATACAGTAGTCCCTCGCTACTTCGCAGTTCGTTTATTGTGGACTCACTATATCGCAGTTTTTCAAAATAAGATTGGACATGAAACACAATTGGCTGATTGATGAATGAGCCGCATGATTGGCATCAAATTTTTATTTAAAATAAATTATTTTAAATAATTTAGCACCTGCTGCACATTTGTGCAGCTCACACTGCAGGATAAACTTCCTGCTGCAGCTGATCAGCTGTTCTGCGTGTAGAGCTGAGAAGTGGGCGTGGCCAAGAGTGTTTGCAGGTGGCAAAGAACAGAGGTGGCAGAGAGATGAAATCATGACATTCTGTCTCTTAGAAAGTTTAGAGTTTAGAAACAATGTTTAGAATATTGCAAGTGTGGGAAGGATTTAAAATGCCTTATAATATATATATATATATATATATATATATATATATATATATATATACACACACACTAAAATGAACTACTACTTAGTACTTGTACTACTATTCCTACTTTGGTTCAGAATACTTGCTCTATTTTGTCTTCAGCTGCTTTTAGGTTTTCTAACATTTTTCTATTTTGAGGTAGCCTTTTTGCTACTTGGAGCGAGCATTTAGCTACTTTTGGTGCTTTGGTACTTTTTGGCTTTTACCTTGTGTTCTGTCAGTTTAGGCCTTTTCAACAAATTTTAGCAGACATTCAGTTTATTAGTTCTGTCTGAGTTTAAGGTTACATCTAAAGCTCTGGTAGTGTCCTCCTAATACAGTTTCAGAAAATGTTTAATTTCATTGTTTTTATTTGAGTTCTAGATTTACTCTGAAATAAGCCGGAGATGATTCTTTTTTAATTCTGTTTTTCTGTTCTTACTGATCTGTGTCCTCTGCAGAGTATTTTGAGTACTTTGCTCCAGATTTCACACTGCATCCTGATGTCAGCACCAGGATAGAAAACCAAAACTCCAGACAGGTAAAAACATCCTATGAAGTGAAAACAGCTTTTTCCCCTGCAGTCATGGTGCTTTAGTAGATTCTGCAGGTGATCAAATAGTCTGAAATAGCCTTTGATAACTGCCTTTCTCATCGTTTATGTATGGGTGCAGTATTTGGAGCAGATCCGTCAGACTGTGTTTGAAAACTTGAAGATGTTGAACCACGCACCCAGTGTCCAGATCCACGACGTTCCCTCAGACATGCTGAGTTATGAGCGCAACGACGAGCCTGACCCTGACGAGCGGGGAGCTGAGGAAAACTACAGCCGGTCAGTGGATGGACCGCTTGAACATGAGCTGGCAGCTACTTGGAACGTTTCTTCTGCTTTCACTGACCTTCTACTGTAATTTCAGGCCTGAGGCAGCGAATGAGTTCTACGATGGTGACCATGACAATGACAAAGAAAGCGACGTAGAAATTTGAGCCAAGTGTTGAAGCGACTGTGAACTGAAACACACTCGCTTCATCCCAACTCCACAGCTGAACTGACGTCATGAGTTTGTTTTTAAAGCAGTAAGGTTTTTATAATGGACACTGAAACATTTGATGCATCTTGCATTTTCTCTTTGTACAGTTTTGACATAAATTTTCTTTCACATTGTCTTCATTATGAAATGTTTGTAGCTTTTGTGAGGAGGAAATTAAATGCACTCATCAGTTGTGAAATATACTGAACTGTCGCGCAGTGGAAATATTTGTGTGTGTGTGTGTGTGTGTGGGGGGGGTGTAACAGCAGTTTAACTCCAGGTGTTAATGAAAAGTCAAATTTTAATTTGTATCATTGAAAGAGATATTATAGCATGAGAGTTTGGGTTCAGAATCCATTATTTACACATGAGCATGTTAAAAGTTCATATCTGATGTAGGGTTCTGTGGGCAGGTTATGAATAGTTTCCTTCCTGATGAAGGCAGCTCTTTGATAAACCTCAGTTTGGAGAAATAAGAGCTTACTTTTGACTGAATGGACAAGCTAATGATTATTCCATGCTAGATCTTTGCCGACATGTTAATACAACTTTAATCTTCAGAAATGTTCTAGTGCTTCATGTGAACACTTATAAATCTTTACATTACTGTTAGTTTCACATCTACAACAATGTATTCATTTAACAATGTATTCATTTTGTTATGTTCAAGTAAAGTTTTTTTAAATAATGTTTGCATGAACCACTATGAAACATGAGACCAGAGGTTTTTTTCTTAGATGTTAGCAATCCACTTCAGTTCTGGCTACGCTCAGAACAGCTGTTTCCTTGTCAATTTGAACACATTCAAAACATTTCTTTAAATTGAGGCCATTGATAGCTAGTTAATTAATTTATCTTTTATAACTTTTACAGTTCTACTTTTAAAGTCCACTTCAAAAGATCTGAACTATCCATTTAAAAGGTGTGTACAACTGTTTCCACTTTATAAATCTGTTGACACGTTTTAGTTCTTCTGGAGAGCTCGTGTTGGTGGAATCACCTCTTTTTAAAACACAGATTCAGATTTTTATGAATGAACATAAATCCTTGAGGCTCCAAATCTGGAGGTAATCCAGTCAAGAACTGCTCTCCTGTCTTGTCATTCCTTTTTCCTCATATTAACACCATTATAAAAGTTTAGACCATATAATCCCTGAGAGTGTTATGTAAATGAAAGTTTCATGAGGCTGGTAATCTGGAAATGTTCAGTTGTCGGATCATGTTCTGCTGATAGAACAAATATATCAGTGGGTGAAAAGCCACTGCATATCACCTGCAGCAACAAACAACTCATATGGACTTTCAATACTGTTTTAATAAAACCAAAAAAATTAAGTGTTTGTGACCTACAGTAACAGCTGTTTTTGTGATTCTTGGTAATTTTACTGAAGTTCTCCAACTATTCCTCTGGACCCCATTATTGTTCTTTATTTATTTGTGCTATTTCAACAAATCATCTCAAAACCTTCAGCTCATTAAGGAAAATATGTTGTGAATTTTTTGCTACTTGATGCTTCAGCTTTCTAGGAATCGTTTTAGACTTTTTTCGTCTTTTTGTTCGTCAATAGAAATAAATTTAGCCCAATTTATTCAATTCCTATCAGTTTATTTCTGTTTGTTTTTGTGCAGCTTTCTCTGCTATTTCAGCTACTATTTAAGTGTTTTATGCTAATTTGAGCCTTTTTTTAGTTGGTTTCACATTTATTCTGCACTCATTTCAAACTTTTGTTTTAGATGATTTCAGCAAAAATGTGTTCTCTTTGGTAAATGGTGAATGGACCGCAATCATATAGCACTTTTTTTATCTTATCAAGACACTCAAAGCTCCTATAATACAATCCGTCCAACACTCACCCATTCATACATCATTCTATTTTATAATCAATGCTATATCACGTTCCATACCATACCATAACACTTTATTTATAAAGCACTTAAAACAGCTACAAAGCCAACCAAAGTGCTGTACAGACAGAACAACAGGTAACACACAAAGCAAAATACAATACGTTCATACACTGACGGGACGCACATTTGTGATTATCGTACCCACCACTGCACCCAGTATTCACTGGTTAACTGGACATCATTAACTTCACACAGACTCTCACTGGTACATTTTCATCTTTAAATCACTTCTTGGTCTGCTGCCTTCATACATCTCCTCCTACATGTCTCTGCGTGAGTGCAGCTACGGAGTGCGCTCTCAGGACATTATTACCTGCAGTGTTCCCTCAGTGAGGACTGAACTAGGCAACAGAGCCTTCTCCTACTCCGCTCCTGTTTCCTGGAATATCTTAAAAAAAGATCTGAAGCTCTCGACCTTTGACCTCTCTAAGTGGCTTTAAGAATCTGTTGGACTCCTGGCAAGGACCAATGCAGACATGTTCCTGTTTTTAGTTTTCTACATTCACCTTGTAATCTAACTGTTTTTGTAACTTTTTTTGTCATCTTATTTGTAAAAAAAACAAAACAATAATATGTATGACTTTTTATAACTGTCCATTGTTGTCATCATCCTTTGTTGAAATCAGGTCTCTCTTGTAAATGAGTCCTCGAGGCTCAATGGGATTAACCTTTCTAAATAAAGGTTGAATGAACATCGGAGGCAACAAGGGGCTAAGTGTCTTGCCCAGGGACACTTCAGCATGTGACTAATGGTGGAATAGAACCCCCAACTTTTGCTGAGGCTGAGTGGTTGAATCGTCCTTCACTTGTTTTTCATAGTCAACCAGTCATTTTTTATTTTTATGATATTTCATTTATTCCAAATTGGTTGTCTTCTCTAATTGATATCTTACAACAGTAAGATATCAATAAGTTATTAGCTTTTAGCTAATAACTTATTTAAAATTGTGTTTGCTAATTGCTGTTTTTTCCTTGCGTTGGCTTTCCAACCTGATTTCTGCATAAAATGCAATCTTCCTAGTCAGTTTAGCAAACCTTTATCTCACCATAAGACCATTTTGCTAGATTGTTCAAACTTTAACTTGTGAAGAATTGAAACTTCCTGAGGTATCATTTATTTTTATATAAATATTTTTCATTATCTCTGTTAATTGCAAACTGTTGTATCCCAAATTTGCTCACACTCTGGTGTTTAGAAATAATGTTTAGTCTTGTCTCGTGGAAGAGACATTTGTCCAGATGTCCTTTTTTTCCATTTTTCATTTGAAGTTTGTCCAGTTCCACACCGTGGAGGTCTTAATTGTCCATTTTATTCCAAACTCATGTTGATCAGTTACCCTGCAGTGAATGACACTAACGTACAAATCTGAAAAAATACTCAATACTTAGTTGAATAAACACAATTGTTTATAACCCC